ATAAGTATATATAAATACTATATTGTTTCAAATTGCTACTCAAACCTTTCTCATGTACATGGTCTCTGTTTCAGCAGCGTAGGCATATTAATATAAAACTGTAAATCAGACCCCCCGAAATTCACATCAGCTTACCAATAGCACTATTTGTCTTTTGACTTATTTCTTGTTTGCCATTAGTTTAGGCCTTTTTTATACTTTGATAATTATAATATAAATCTTTCTTTTTACTTTTTCCTGAATTTATGGCTTATTACGTAAAGCAAGATGTAATTTACTGGAGTGTAAGACGCCCACAAGCAGTGGTATCTTCTATTGCCTTTTGTGGTCCTGTTCCTAAGGGGGCTCTGGGTCCCCTGCACGCGGGGTTCCCATGGCAAGACAAACTGCCCTTCTGCATACCTTCTGGAAAAGCTTATCGTCGGGGGTGGGGGTGGTGGCCGCGCGGTGTGAACTCCGGAGCCGGTGTCCGAGCGACTTGTCATACGGGTAATTGGCCACTACTGCCCCGCCATGCAGATTGGCTGAGAGGACGAAGTTGATGGACTGCATCCAGCGGATCACAGCCCGGGTCTCAGGCTCCACCTGTGACAAGGGGGAAACTGGCGAGGAAGGTGCCACAGGAGCTGCCCCACGGTTGCTGGGGAGAGGAGGCAGCGGGTCTGAAGACAACCGAGTCCTACGGGTGGGCGGAGTGTGGCTGGGAACAGTGAGCTTTGGGATCCTGGTCCCCAGAAGCAAGTTCACAGAATCCTATTTCAGAAGGAAACTTATGTGGCATTATAATATACTATGGAGTTATTCTAGAGAAAGCCCTGAACCCACTTGTGCTTGTAGTATATGTAAGTAACTTATAGTCCTCAGTGATTTTTTTCTCCTTTCGGGATGCACATTTAGAGATTATGTGATGTTGATGGGTTAATTGCTCCACCTGGACCCAGAGCCAGCTCTGAAGGCCCGATCTTCCTATCCAGAAGGGGACTTCAGGGACAACGCTAAGTGTGTCAAGGGTCATACAGCTGGAGAAGAGGAAAAACTGTAAGGGTGAACATAAAAACAAAAACAAAAACCCCATAAGGGTTAGACCTCCTGACCCTCTTTCTGGAGCTGTCTATAGCCACATCAAGTTTACCATGTGCAAGTGGCTCTGTCAGCTGCTAGAGTTCTCTGTCAATAGCTTACTGTAGTAGAAAGGATGTTAGATTAAGAGTAGAAAGGTCAGGTGTACTGGTGATGCCAGTACTCAGGAGGCTGAGGCAGGAGGATCTCTGGGAGTTCAAGGTCAGCCTGGGCTATTTGAGCAAGTTCAAGGTCAGCCTGCAACACAGCAAGGCACAGTCTCAAAAAAACAAAACAAAGCAAAACAAAACTCCAAGAGTCGGAATCCTAGACTTTAAACCTGATTCTATCAATTATTATCCATGTGGATTTTTGCGTGTGTGTGTGTGGTACCAGGGATCGAACTCAGGACCTTGCACTTGCCAGGCAAGCACTAAGCTATCTCCCTAGCCTAGCCATGTAGATTTAAATTACAGTGGTGCCTCATTTCAAAAATAATTTGGTTCTTAAACAAAAGTACCTGACAACACTGTTTCTGTTCACAAACTACATATCGGGTGACAAACCGAACCACAGCCATCTTCCCCACACAAACAGAACTGGCGCCATTTTTCTCAAAATCAAAAACCAAATTAAGTTAGTGAACTGAGGCACCAATGTATTTTATTTACAAGTGTAACATCTATAAAGCAAAAACTGAGACAGCGCTAATTGATGCACTGACCACACTGATAATCTACTGAAACGTCAACCGTGAAAAACTTGTGCAGCAGACCTGGCAATGCACGCCTGTGATCCCAGCACTCCGGGAGGCAGGAGCACCACAGATATGAACCCAGTTTGGGCAACTTAGTGAGATCCTTTCTCCAAATAGGAAAAAAAAAATTAAAAAGTGTTGGGGATTGTTAGGGTTTGTGTCTAGCTGTCCTCCCAAAGCCTCATGCAGTTATTGGGGCAGGTTCTAGAGTACAAAGTAAGACGGCCAGGGATGTAGCTCAGCAGTACAGTGCTGCCTGGCAAGCACAGGTTGTGAGTTCCATCCCCAGCATATGAGAGAGAGAGAGAGAGAGAGAGAGAGAGAGAGAGAGAGAGAGAGAGAGAGAGAACAAAGGAAAAGAAAACAGCATAAGCTGCTTTCATGGCTTGTAACTATTTGTCCCCTTAAAGCATCATGCAGTCACAGGTAAGAATTTCAGAGGTGGCTGGATTACAGGTGTGATGCTGGGATTGTGGGTGTGGATAATGGAAACCCCACTGTGGTTGGGGGTGGCAACAATCAATAGGCTTGTAGCCTAGGTGTTATATAAAGGCGCAGAAAACAGGTATGCTGCTGCTGCTGCTGCTTGCTACTTGCTACTTCTGCTGCTTGCTGCTGCTGTCTTCTGCCTGCCTTTCCATGAACTGTTTCCCCTCTGCGATGCCCCTCTGTCAGGCTACCCTGCCTTGGAACCAGCTGACTGTATGCTGAAACCTCTACACACTGTAAGCCAAACAAACCTTTTCTCCTTTAACTTATGGTTTCAGGTATTTGGTCTCAGCAATAAGAAAAGTAAGACAAACATAGTTATTATTGCTTTAGAAAACCTCACAGAGTTCAGCTGACATTCAGTTTCCTAGCCTGTTTACTTAAGCTGAAGACTATTGGGCAATCTTGCAGCAAGAATTTTCAAATGCTGTTTTACATGCTTCTGGTTGCAAAGTTTAATCTCCTACCTGGCTCTTCCAGTTGTCTGGAAGAGGCAAGTGATGGTTGGGGCCTCCGTACTTCTCATTATAGTAGAAATAGGTATTGAGGTCAGGGAAGTTTCGGTTTAGGTCCACTCCGTTGGCATTGTTCCTGCCAATCAGATATCCATATGTGTTTGGGCCCTAAGAGAAAGTTGAAAAGGTAAAAAATGAAGGTTTCAGATTGAATCTTATAGTTAGAGAACACAGTATAGCTCTTTTAGGTATTTGTTTAACTCATCAAACGATGTAGCGTTTTCTTCTTTTACTTATCCAAAGCCCAGAGGTGTGCTTCAAATTTCCTGAAGGCCCAGTGCTGGAGGAGGCAGCGGGCCCATGAAGAGCTCTAACAGGCATGGAGTGGTTCAAGATCGTAAAAGTATGGAAACTTTTGTTTTTGTTGTTGTTCTTACTCCTTTTTTTTTTTTTCTTTGACAGAATCATGCTATGCAGTCCAGGCTGGCCTTGAACTCACTGTGTTGCCCAGGCTAGCTTCTGACTCCCAGGGATCCTCCTGCCCCAGCCTCTGGAGTGCTAGGATTACAGGTGTGCACCACCCCACTTGGCTAAAACCTTCATTTTTCAAAAAACAGCTTTATAGGGTTTTTTTTGTTGTTTTTTTTTTGTGGTACTGGGGATTGAACTCAGGACTCTGAGCTTGCCAGGCAAGGGCTTATTCTACTGAGCTATCTTCATGGGCCCCAAAACAGCTTTATGGACATATAATTTATATACCATAAGATTCATTCACTTTTAATGTACAATTCAATGGATTTTCATGTGCTTACAGAGTTGTACAATTGTCATCACAATCTAATTTTAAACATTTCTAGCACCCTAAAAAGAAATCTTGTTGGGGAGATAGCTCAGCAGCATAAGCGCCTGTCTAGCAAGCACAAGGTCCTGAGTTCAATCCTCGGTGCAAGGAAACAAACCAACAAAAAGAAATCTTACTGTTCCTTAGTCACCCCTCATTGTCACCCCAGCCCTAGGTTATCATTTTCTATCTCAGTAGATTTTTCTCCTCCAGATGTGTCGCCTAAGAGGGACTGTCCATCACATGCTCTCCCATCCCTCCCACTTGCCTAATGTTCTTGAAATGTGGCCAGGCTGTAGCCTCCACCCCTTTTGTTGTTCCCTAGTTCTCTTATAGGATCTATCACACTTTCATTATCCATCCACTTAGCCAATGGGCTGTATTAGTTTTCTAGAGCTGCTGTAACAAATCACTAGGAAGGGGGAGGCTCTAAAAACAGTTGTTCTTCTCTCATAGCTCGAGGCTTGGAATTCAGGTGCCAGCAGGGTGATGCTTTCGGAAGCCTCCCTCTTTGTATGCTCTTGTTTGGGGCAGTTCCTGAAAAGTCTCTGGTATTCCTTCGCTTGGAGATACATCCCTCTAGTTTCTGTTCCCATCTTTACCTGGCCTTCTCCCCACTGTGCCTGTGTCTGTCTTTATAAACTTTTAAAAACATTTTTAAAAATTTATTTATTTATTTGATACAGGGTCTCACTATGCAGTTATAGTGATTCCTCTGTCTCAGCCTCCCCAGTGCTGGGATTATAGGTGTATGCCACAACTCCTGGTTCCGGGGCCGGCACAGTATGCGGTAGCAGAGATTGAACCCAGGTTCTTGTGCTTGCCAGGCAGGCGCTTAGATTGCCGAGCTATCTCCCCATCGTAGCCTTCCTTCTTATGTAGACAACAATCGGGGATGGTGGCGCAGGCCTGTAATCCCAGCACTGGGAGGCTGAGACCAGAGGATCACTAGGAGTACAAGCTGTGCAGCGAGACCCTATACCAAGTAAATAAATAAATAAACAAATAAATAGATCCTTGTGTAATCTAGCATATTTTAAATCAAACAGTTAACAACCTTAGTTTCATCTAATAAATAAATAATATCTTTTTGAAAAAGACCACAACCATATTGAGGTTAGAATTCACCCTAATCTAGTATGACTTCAACTAATAATATCTACAAAGGCTCCACTTCCAAATAAGATCAGTTATAGGCTCCAGGTGAGCCATAATGGTGTGTGTGTGTGTGTGTGTGTGTGTGTGCGCTCGCGCGCTACTGTTCCACCCAGTACAAAGACATTTGGGTTGTTTGGACTTTTTTGGCTGATATGAACAATGCTGCCCCAGGTGCACGTGCAGGAGAACTCCAGGGACACGCGTTCTATGTTAACTTTTTGAAAAACTGCTGAGGTGTTTTCCAAAGTGACTGCGCCATAGCCATCTACTCTCCTCCTTCGTAAAGAATGTAGGACCTTCATATCCATTCTGAAAAGTGTCAACTTTCTGGATCCTTTAATTTCTCTGCTCATATATCAGAGTTTATCTTGATCTGCGCATATGTTCATTCACTTCAGTCAGCCATTGAATTAACCAACATTTACTGAAGTCTCAGTTCAAATCCATCTAGTAGACATTAGGAAGACAACTCAGTGGGACATTATTTAGCTTTCTAGGCATTCACAGTATACACGGGGAGATAAATATAGAAGCAAATAATTAAATATATAAAATGGCAGAAAAGAGGCCCAGTCAAAATTGAAATGCCCTCAGTGGACGAAGCGCCTGCTTAGGCAAGTGCAGGGGCTGGGGTTCGATCCCTGGCACAGCATGTCGCACCAGCCCTGCCCCCAGGTGCGCTGAGTGGGCAACTGAGTTGGGGTGTGGTGGTGCAGGCCTATAATCCCAGCACCGGGGAGGCTGAAAACAGGAGGATCACTAAGAGTTCGACCTGTGTAGTGAGACCCTGAACACACACACACACACACACACACACACACACACACACACACACAAATTGAAATGCCATTAACGTTTTGTGTGGCATCAGAGAAGGGCCACAGAGTCCACTGCAGCCCTGTGAACCGAGACAGCAGAACTCAAGTTGTTGGCTGCTCCTGCCAGGGTGAATGAATCAATGATTTGCAGCTGAAAACGCAGAGGGACCGCCATTCAGATTTTCCTTAAGAAATCTTTATTACTCGTAGGTCTTTTGTTGAATCATGACACCTTGCTCGCATTTGAGTCTCAGATTACACTGAGGATGAAACTCTTCACACAGGTTTTTAAGCTTCCTCTATCAATTCTATCCCAGCGGAACCACTGATCGGCTTTGAAGTGTGGCCGACATGTCCACGACCTAACGCCTTCCTTTAGCGCTGCCAGGAGTTCTCACTGGTCGCCCGCTCTTGGCAGCGCAGATCTTACTTGTCAGTGTAGCCATCCTGGGCTTCATCAGTTGACCTGTCACGCACACAGCGGTCTCAGGTCAGCAAGAAGGGGGTTCCTGGGCTGCAGGTAGAGCCCAGTGGTCCAGCAGTTCCCAGCACGTGGGAGGCTCTGCATCCCATTCTTAGCGCTGCCACTGCGGAGGGGGCAGGCTTCCCCTAAAACAGTTTCCCTCCACGCAAGTTTCCCCTAAGCAGGGAGGGTGACATGGTGGTTTCCTATTACTGCTGTAACAAATTACCACAAATTTAATGGCTTTGAACAGGACAAACATATTATCTTAATGGTTTTGGAGATCAGAAGAGTGACTCACAGGACTGAAAGGAAGGTGTTAGCAGGGCTGTGCTTCTTCTGAGGGCTCTATGAGAACTGACATCCAGACACTTCCAGTGCCTCGAGATCACCTACATTCCTGGGTTTGTGACCACTTCTTCCATGTTCAAAGGTAGCGACATACCATCTTCAAGTCTCTCTCTGATTTTGAATGCCTGCCTGCTTCTTCTACACATGTAAATGACCTTTATGGTTGGTTACACTGGGTCCATTTACATAATCTAGAATATTTTAAATCAAACAGTTAGCAACCTTAGTTTCATCTAAAACCTTAATCTGTCTTGCCAAGTAACATAAAAGATCCATTCGATCTGTGGATTAGGGTGCAGACATCTTGGGGAGGGGCTTATTCTCCTTTTCCACTTGTGACTTTGAAGTCTGGTCGCTAGGAAAATCCCCCCTGTATAATCATGCAGGTAGGTTTCCTGAGGGAATACCAGGCACCAGTGGTGTCTGAAAACCTGAGGAGTCTTCTCAGGTACAAATCCAAGGTGTGCTCCCTCTGAATAAGAACTTGCCATGGGGCTGGTGAGATGGCTCAGTGGTCTAAAGCACCTACTTAGAACAAGCTTAGCAAAGCACAGGGACCGCGGTTCAATCCCCCAGCACCACATGCCAGCCAGCCCCGCCCCCTGGTGGGTGAGCTGGCCACACACACACACACACACACACACACACACACACACATAAATAAATAAATAAATAAAAAAAAAAAAAAAAAAAAAAAAACTTGCCAGGAGGGCAGCGAAGACCGGCTTCCCAGGCACGGGTCTAGGATCTGGTGACTCGCAGGGAGTTTCCTCACTTTCTCCTTATCTTTTTATTGCAAAGGAGGTGGACAAGAATGAGTTGCTTTCCCACCTTCCCTGCTACAACACAGGGAAAGCTAATGAAAGACGGTAGCCGGGCTGGAGTCTTCGGCCACATCCCTTTCCAATTCTCCTGCCCCGTGGAAAGCTCAAGTATTGAGGCACGTTAGTGTGCATTTTTCCAGGGTAGATAATGTTCTTTTTTTCACTCCTTGAGTCATTTCAGCAGGAAGTTGTGAGTTTTCAACAGTCAAATTTGTGTCGGATTCAGCATCCTGGATGTCTTTCCCCATCTGCCTCCGCTCATCCACACCCATATTCTCAAGTAGGTTTAAAATATACTTTAACTTAACTCCCTCTGCTCCCCCCACCCTTATTTAAACATAGATTTTAAAAGAAACATATCTATTGTGCAAGGCAAATACATACCTGGCTTTACCCTTGAGTAGGTCTAGGGCAGGACCTGGGAATCCATATTTCAAAAATCTTCACCTATTATCTTGGTGCATAACCACAAAGGAAATCCATTGATTTAAAGTAAGACACACTGACATTTTGAATTTATGTTAGGAAGCAAGGAAAAAACCCATAGACATTTTTTTTTCTTATCTGTCTCACTGTAGATACAACTCCAAAATAAAAAACTGAAAAGTTGATTTACTGTATCAGTAGATGAACAAACATTCCAGAAATATAATAAGGAATAAAAAGGCCAGGGAGATAGCTCAGCAGTCTAAGTGCCTGCCTGGCAGCTGCAGGGTCCTGGGCTCTATCCCTGGCACTGCATGCTGTGCCTGGCCCTGCCCCACATGCACCAAGCAGGCCACCAAGACTGGGCGTGGCGGCGCATGCCTGTAATCCCAGAGTGAGGGAGGCTGAGACAGAAGGATCACTACGAATCTGACCTACGTAGTGAGACCCTCTACCAAATACATAAATTAAAAAATGAATAAAGAATCAACAATTAATTCCCCACACTCAAATCTGGGGAAAGTGTGGTTTCCTTGGAATCTTCCCGAGGAACACAAATAAACAAATATGTAGGAAAAAGAAGGGTATTTAGGGTTCGAACATAAAAGTTCAGGAAAGAGCATATTTTGCAATATCCCTTTCCATCTGTATAGTATTTTCCAGTTTACGAGTGTTAGCACTAATCCTCGTACTAAAACCTTGCGGTCAGGCAGTGTGGAGCTGAGGCTTAGACCCCGCGCACAGGCACTGCCTAGGGTGCTACACGACGGAGTGAGTCAACCTTCGCCCTCCGTTATACTTCTGTTGGTTCCACCCCGCCTGCCCTGACGTTTTATTTTTGGGCGGCATTCACAGCGTGACAGGGAGCACACTGTCCAGCGGGCTTACTTTCCTTTCGTGCGGTGAACTCAGTCTTCCCCATACCTGCGCAGCAGCCATCTCGTAGCCGTCTGGGTTCATGGACGGCAGGATGTGAATGCGCGTGCCCTGGATGAGCTGCACGATGCGCTCGTTCCGGTTCCGGAACTCCTCGCACAGGAACTCAGACAGCTGCAGCAGAAGTTCGCGGCCCAGCACCTCATCGCCGTGCATGTTCCCCACATACTTGACTTCCGGCTCCACTGCAGGTGCAGAAAAAGAAAAGATGGGCAGAGTTGCCTGTGGCGTTGACGCTTGACCTTGCAGAAGGATCTTTTCGGATCCATCCAACAATGAATAAAGAAAAATGTCATTCTTTAATTGGGTCTTTGCCAGCAATTCTCGGGCCCTTCCAACCCAATTGCAATTGCCAGGATTCCAAGAATTCATGCCAGGGCTCAAAACGACTACCATTAATTCAGCCACCATTATTCATTGATGTTTATCATTACTAATCTTCACAGAAAACCTGTGAAGCAGGCACTTTTAACCTCAGAGTGAAGAATTAGGGACAGAAGAGGTCAAGGAACATATCTGAGGACTGGTAGCTAATGAACGTAACAGAAGGCAAAGCCCAGCTAGCATTTGCTGGGCCATTTACCTTGGCATGCGGCTTCTCAGAGACAAATCCTTCAGGATGAGGGTGGTATTTTCCTAATACCTCTCGCCTGAAGTAGTCTTGGTGACAACAGAACTGCTGATCATTCCAGTTGAAAACCTAATTTTCCTGGCCTGTAGGAAACTAAAATCCCTCCTTCATATCTGAAAAGGCCATGTCTTACGGCACAGAAAACAAAGGAGTTTATTTTTGCCTCAATACTTAGTCTCCTCTTTGATCATCTTAACTGAGAGATAATTTTTGCTCCCTTTTATTTTCATTTATGTATTTTACTTGTGTTTAGAAAGTTTTGGAGACAGGGTAGTGGAGGCTGGCCTGGAACTGCTATGTAGCCAAGGCTGGGCTCAACCCTGCAGCCATCCTCCTGGTTCAGCCTCCTGAATGCTGTGATTACAGGTGTATGACACCACATCCAGATTTCTTGCTCACTTTTAAAAGGAAGGAGAGGGGCTGGTGAGATGGCTCAGTGGTCTAAAGCACCTACTTAGAACAATCTTAGCAAAACACAGGGACGGAGGTTCAATCCCCCAGCACCACATGCTGGCCAGCCCCGCCCCCTGGTGGGCTGAGCTGGCCACACACACACACACACACACACACACACACACAAATAAATAAAGTTTAAAAGGAAGGAGAGGTGCTCTTTCTATGTGACCCTTTCCACCCACTACTTTTCTTCCTCCATATCTTTTTTGATTCAATATTTTTCATCTCATTTGCAAATCCTCCTTCTTATCCTCTCAGGCCCAATTCAGATGTTTCTTACATCTTGGGCTCTTTCTTGGGAGTGAGCTCTCTGTTGACTTCCCTTCCATGGAACTTACCACTTTCTGCTCTTGGTTTTAACTGTTTTTTTTTTTTTTTTTTTTTTTCCCAGAACCGGGAATTGAACTCAGGCCCTTGAGTTTGCCAGGGAAGCACTTATTCTACTGAGCCATCTCCCCAGCCTTTAACTGTTTTTTAAAACTGTTTTTGCACACCTTCTTTCCTTTACTGGATCTCACCTTAGAAATGTATATATTTCTTAGTTTTCTTTACAGCATAGTCTGTTATTGTGTATCTTAGTATTCTTACCGCAGTCTTTTCTAAAGAATGCTTGAAATGCTCATAAGGGTCATCTGGTAGATTTTCTAAGATGTGAATTCCTTAATCTTAGATTACATCCATGATGGTGAACCTACTGGAGCCTTCAGCGATAACTTGCTCCTGGTGCAGCATGCAAGCCACAGGTTCACCACTGTTGGATTATGTCTTTCTTATTTTTCTTGGCACTAAAATGTCTTGATTTTATCATTTACAATGGAGTAGACAACAACAAGAACAAATGGCAATTTACTAAGAGCCCTCTGGCACAGATGGAAGAAGAAAGAAGGGAGCGTGTAGCCAGATGAAGAACATGGGGAACGGAGGTGGGGCAGGTGTTTGAGATGAAGGTCAAAGAGAAAGTTCAAAAACGGAAGGACTCTGAAGCTCAGCTCCAGCGATGCCAAGAGCAAATGAAAAGAATTTGGAAGCACAACACAAAGAATTAGAGGAAAAATGTCATCAGTTTAGGGAAGAGAAAGCAAACTGGGAAGCTCAGCGATGAATTTTAGAGCAACAGAACTCTCCAAGAACCTTGGAAAGGAACAAGAAAGGAAAGATCTTTTAGACTCTCTGTTGGCCACCAGTTACGTATGAGTTGCCAGCTTGGACATCAGTGTTGGATTCATTTCACCAATTTGCACCAGTTTTTAAAGTCAAAATGATGGACTTACCAGCAGGACAAAAATTTTTTTTGTTGTTGTTGTTCTTAATGGAATTAAGATGCCTTAAATTGTCTAGGGTGCTGTGTACTTAGAAAATAACGGCTTTCTACATTTCTTTTCTAAATGTACCTTTCTACATTTTCTTTTCTTTTTTTTATTATTGAACAGATGTCTTCAATTTAATGCAAGGGAACATTTTACTGTTGTACAATCATGTTCTGGTGGTTTGACTGTTTACAGGATATTCCAAAATAAAAGGATGCTGGAAGGTTTTCATTGAGGATAAATTGGCATAATATGACACAAACTATGCTTCTCTATGATAATCATAATATAGAGGTTCCATTCAGTGCAGCCTACACAATAATGTAATTTAGTCTAACACAGTTGACCCTATTTTTTGACACTTCCACTGTTTAAAAGTACACATGGAAAAAAATCTATATGCTTACAGTGCTCCGAGAGCTTTCTTATAACAACTTTTTTTGTTTTTTGTTTTTTAAATTCTGTTAAGTCTATATTATTGTCATTTAGTGCCTTTTTTGGCCAGCATCTCATTACTGCTTCATTTTTGTAATAACATTTAATTTAGATATTTTCCATATATTGGTCCTGCTAAAATAGAATATAGCACCTTTCATGTGGTAGAAACCAACAAAGAAATTGTCCTTTTACTCCCTTTTTACACTTTATGGTAAGCGGCAGGGGGGAAAGGCGTTTATAGATCATTTCTGGGCAGACCGTGAAGCGAACGACAACCTGTCTCTACCTATACGCAGTCTCTTATTTTACTAGACATGGACATCATGACCCCCCGACGAGGAAAGTCCCCGTTCTGTACTCAGCTGTCTCCATATATTGCATTTCTGTATTTTTGTTTGTATTGTGAAAATTTTACATAATAAACAATGTTGTGATGTAAAATAAATAAATAAATAAAATAAAATGTCTTGATTTTAGGAAAAATTGGTGATCATAGACGACCAATGTGATAGCTTTCTCCATATCCTTATTCAGTAAAATAAAATTTGAAAAGCTATTTTAGATTCCTTCAATCTCTTAATTTAAAATTTTAAAATTTTCTTAGTACATGGTCGCAGTGCGTACTTACTACATTTACTGTGGGGACTGAGTACATACGTGTAACACATCCTAATTATTTTTATGATCCCCGCCCCTCCACTCCCTTCCTGCTTCTTCCTTCCCTGTTGCAAAAGCCCCATCTCCATTTTCTGCCAATCATTTTTCCATCCCCTTTCTCTTTCCTCTCTTCCTTTCTTTGATCTTTTGTTCCCCTCCTCATTTGAAAAAAGAGCTCCTATTTCCTATTATTCATCTTTCATTTTGCTCTTTATTTATAGTCTGGGATTTTCATGAAAGAGAAGCCATGCGTGTCTAACATCATGGTCTCAAGGGGCACCCACTTTCCTACCATTGCCCCATCTTTATCCTCCTTTATGGCAGAGTGGTACCGTTGGGTTCATATCCCTTCCTCCCCATACCTGGATCATGTAATAAATTTCCACTTGGACTCCCTGCATCTGCCAAGCCCTATTAATCTGTTTTCCTGAATCAAGGGTTCACAAGATTTTTCTGTTAAGGTCCAGATAGTAATCCTTTGGGCTTTGTGGGCAATATTGTTTTCAACTCTTTCAGTAGAAGCAGCCATAGGCAATACAAAAGCAAACAGATGTGACTGTGTTCCAAAAAAATCATCAAAGCAGGTGGCTGGCCATGGGCCGCAGTTTGCTGATCTTGATTCAAAGTGATTTTTTAAAAATTTAAGCTGGGCACAGTGGTGCGCATCTGTAATCCCAGCACTCGGGAGACAGGCAGGAGGATCGTTATGTGTTCAAGACCAACTTGGGCTACAAAGTGAGCTCAAGGCCAGCCTGAACTGCATAGCTAGACTCTGTCTCAAAACAAGACCAAGGATAAATAAATAATAACAACTTAGGTCAGATCACATTCGTTTGCTTCAAGCTCTCAGGGGGGTCTCCCATCACTCTGCTTGAGACACTATGTCCCCCTTGCTGTCCCGCCTGTGAGCCAGGGTCTGGCTCCCTGAGCGCTGCATTCGCTCTTCCTCCTGCCTGTCACGCCCCTCTCGCCCACACCAGCACAGCGTGCTCCTGTCAGATCTCTGCTCAAAACCCCTCAGGGCAGAGGTCTTTCCAGGGCCTCTGCAGCCTTCCCAGCTCCTCCACATACTCCACAGAACCCTTATCTTTCCTGATTGAGCTTTTGGCTGTAGCACTTATTTCCATTTGACATAATATATATTTAATTACCCATTTATTTTAGTGCACTAGAACCCAGGCCCATGAGGTAAGGGTCTTTGTGTTACTCTTGGCTTTACTTCTGAAGTCCTTGCATATATTAGGTGACTGATAAATATCTGTAGAAGGACGGAATGAAAGGAATGAATGGATGAACAGTGAAAGTTACAGGACTTAAGAGAGAAGAGGAGTCGATGAGGGTTAGTGCGTGAAAAAAGCAACAGGGGGGCCTTGAGTGCCAGAAAATACAAAGGCAACAAAAAGAGGATATGAAGAGGAGAACGAACCCCACATTTACCGACAGCCACAATGCACACGCCGTCTGGGTGAAAGCAGGTGCCTGCTCGGCGCATGCAGCTTCCAAGCAAGGCTCTTCGCCCCATGCAACAACACAGCACTCGGCCGACCTCTCCTCCATGGTATTTTGAAGCTATCATGGCTGGAATACAGTACACTGAGTTTTTAAGGCAAAGGGAGCACGTTCTATCAGTGTTTGGGGAAATGATTCTGGCCTCTGCTGTGCCAAACGGAAGGTTCTGAGAGTGGCAATGGTTAGGACTTTAGTGCAGTGATTTAGACCCAGTGTGATGGAGACTGGGTTAGGGCTGGGCGGTGGAGGCGCAAAGGAAAGAGTGATGTGGGGTTGACCCTTTGCAGGAGGCGCTGATCAACTTGAATGTCACTATTGCTGTACATACAGCAGCAAGTAACTGGAAACAAATGACCATCAGTGTAAAGAAAAACAACCTGGGACAGAACGCCATGCAGCCAAAGGGGAAAAAAAAATCACATAAGCACAGACCCGGTGCCACGCACAACAGACCGTGAAGTGAGAGAAGCAGTTACAGTAGGATTCTGATTTTATGAAAAACATGTGCCCTTGCGGGGGCTGGCTAAGTATGCACTTTAAAAGTCTGAAAGGACATACTCCGGCATGTTAACAATGGTCACCTGGGATTAGTGAGATTATAGATGGATTTCTGTGTCTAGTTTCTAATTTTTACCCCAAATATGGGCTATTTTGATAACAGAAGAAAACTAATAACACTAACAGTAACAAAATAATTCACTGCTCCAGCTAATACCATCTCTCCAGGATGCCACGCTCTCTTATACTGCTGTTCCCAGGAGAGGTATCCTTGAACTGTTCTTTCTTGGCAGAACTAGAAGGGTTAATGATTTCTGCGGCTTCAGAGCCACTAGATAATGAAAGGTGACTAACATGAAAAAAAAAAGAAAAAAGAAGGGCAATGGGGGCGGAGTGGGAAGGGGGCAAGAAAAAAGGTTCGCTTTTTACTGCTGAGGTATTGAGGAAACAACCCAAGGAACAGGGCGAGACTTAGGGAAAGTCAAAGAAGAAGTGGTTCTTTTTAAAGGTAGAGGGTCCCATAAACCTTCCTAGCAACAATCCCAGTGATGGGATTGGCAAGGGAAGGTCCTGCTCCCCGCACTGAGAACTGCACGGGACTTACAGAGCTCGTGAGTGCCGGGGTAATCACTGAATTCCAGCACGTAGAGGAGTCGGCCCTGCACGCTGCGCCCGATGGTGTAGATCCGCGTGATGTGGGGGCACTGGTTGTGCACCTTGTACAGGGTCCGCACTAGGTCATCATAGCGGTGGTGACGAAAGGTCACAGGGGCAACCAGCTTGAAGAGAAGAAGAAGGTGCAGGAGGACTGAGAGCAGCCCTGACATCTTGCTGGGCTTCTTCAAAGCGAGCAGCAGACATGGGCCCCCTGCTCTGCACATTAGCCTCTTTGCCGCTCAGAATCGAGGGGCCGAGGTCCAGTTCCGCTTAGCTTCCCTGCACGAAGCAGCGCGACAGCATCTGAGAGGCGGTTCAGGATTCTCACTCTCGAGGTTGAAAATTATTTCTGTAGCTCTTGAATAGCCACTCAGCTCTTCACACTCATTTCTCCTCCTCTCCAAATCCTGGAAAACCTCTTGAAAGGTTTACTGATTAACTGGACTGTAAACAGCCTTCAATAAAGAGCTGCTATAACCCTTTGATTCCCGGAGGATTTTCCCAAACGTGGCTGAGCCTTTTCCTTTTGTTACAACGGAAAAAAGAGCTCTCTGTGCCCTTCGGTCTACCCGTTCCTGCTGTCGCGCAGCTTCCCGAAGCACTGCTTTTGCGTGCCCCCTTTATGCCCCTCAAATATCTTTCAGCAGGTACCATGAAGAAAATGAAAATATGAGCCACTGACTGTGAGCTAACAATGGTAAGCTGATTCTATATCACGGATGATCAACACATTAATAGAAAGATAACAGTTCAGTTAAAAATTAGCAGATTTGAATAAACACAGTACTTGCAAAAGTAAAATGCAAACACCTAAGAAGCGTATTTAAAGATGTTCAACACTAGTAGCTATTAGGTGCAAATTAAAATAACGTGAGATTTGCTTCATTTCTACTAGAATGGCTATAATAAAAAAAATTAAGTTTTTTTTTTTTAAAGAAATAGAAGACAGTAGAACCCTCATATATTACTGATGAGAATGTAAGATAATGCAGCCAGTTTGGAAATGTTTCTCAGGTTCTTAAAAAGATTAAATATATATTTTACTATATAAATCAGAATTTCACTTCTAAGTATCAACCCAAGAGAAGTGAGAATGTGCATCCGCGCCAAAATATTGTACCATGAATATCCACAGCAATATTATTCATAATACATAAAAGGAGAAAGCACCCGCTATTCATTTACTGCTGAGTGGATGGATAGAAAATAATGCATCTATACAATAGAATATTACTTAGCAATAAAAAGAAGTGAATTATTGAACATGGTGCAACAGGGGCAAATCTTAGATAAATTATGTCCACTAAAAAACCCCAGACACAATAGACTGCATTTTGTATGAGCCATTTCATATAAATGTTTAGAAAAGCAAATATATAGAGAATAAATGTAGATTAGAAGTTGCCCAAGGGTAGAAGTGGGAATTCGGATCTATTAGGAGTAACACAAGACTTCTTTTTTTTCCTCCATAGGAATAGCAGTGGGGCCGGGGAGATAGCTCAGTAGAATAAGCGCTTGCCTGGCAAGCTCAGGGGCCTGAGTTCAATCCCTGGTTCTGAAAAAAAAAAAAAGAAAGAAAGAAAGAAAGAAAGAAAGAAAAAGAAATAACAATTTTATTAGGACATTACAAGATACTTCACGTGTGTGGTAAATAACATGGCAATCATGCATAAGATCAATGTTATCTTTTTAAAATTTTAAACAGAAAAAAGCCAGAAATAACAATAAAACAGAGTTTCAAAACAGGCCATTGGAGAATAACAATAATCAACACATTGTGCATTGTTATATTCACAGTAGTTGTTCAGAGTACAAGATATACACGTGAAGCATTGTCCAGAAAATCACTAGCTCTAAGCTTTCTCCTCAGTGAACTAAGCGAGACCAGCTGTAGAGCTATCTGAACCGTCTTGTGTATGTATATATTTTTTTCCTTTGCCCTTCCTTCCTTTCCAAGATTTCTTTCTATGGTAATAGTAGTGTTCTAAAATTAGATTGGAGTTGAGTCAATTTTTTTTTTTTTTTTTTT